TGCGACTTCCAGAGCTTCTTCAGCGAGATAAAAGGTAAGTCAGAGTGCCAAATCAAACCTGCTGCTCTCCCTGGCTCTACCCTGTGCTCTGTGGCCCAGATCTCTGCCAGCTGTTTGGCACCATCACTTCAGTGCACAATCTGTGTAGATGCCCTGTTGTATAACAACAAAACTCTCCCTGGAGCCAAGACTGTCTCCTGAGCACTTTTATGCATGGTGAAGGAAGAGGATTCTTTTTTTTTTCAGTGTACAGTCTGTCTTTCAGGGGAGAGACAGAGTTCAAATCAAAGTGTAATAGTGGTTTGAGTTTCCACAGGAAATGACTTGGGGTTATTAAGATGTATTTTTTTCCATTGTAAAACGATCTCAAATGCTTTAACACAAGGAGAGGGACCTAAAAATCCTGCCAGAGCCCGTACTGCTGAAAGTCACTGTAATAGCTCACAATTTACATTCTTCCCCTACTGCAAAAAAACAAGGACAAAGCCTTTGATCTCCCCATCTTTTCACGTTGCCACTGCAGTCTCTGCCAGGTGTAATCTGCAGCGCTGAAGGTCTCGGGCTTACTGCAGCACTCCAAGGACGCTTTGACGACTTTGGATGGAGGAGAGGTGAGGAGCAGATTTTCTGGACTCGTATCTATAACACTGGTGCTTGAAATGACATGGAATTGGACTCAGCAACCCACATGGTGCCCTCCTCTAGCCAGGCTGCAGCTGTCTCCAAAAGGAGATCCCCTACGGGTGCAAATCCCTGCGGCGCCTCCGCCCTCTCGCTGCCGGTGCCTCTGCTCTTCCCACACGGCACCAGGGACCACAGAGCAACGCACCTGCTCATGAGCACTGTGATTAAGAGGTACGAGGACAAGCCCCTCCTATGTTCTTTATATCTGGGATGGCTTTTAAAAACCCACTCGACCACATTCCTGAAATAGTGCTGACTGAAACCTGTCCCACAGCCCTCTGTAGAGAGTCTCTCCAGTGACTCCTCCAGGACCAGGACACTTGCCTTTCAAACATCTGGGTGGGGAGAGAGAGCTCTAACCTTAAAATAAAGTATACCTCTAAATTTAAATTTAAGGGCACGTTCAACTCTACCTATAAACACAGATGTTAACAACACTCTTTCAGAAGTGGGGGATTGAATTTGCTTTTGCTCATAGCTTTGTAGCTCAGGAGTGACCCCACTGCAATCAGTGTGCAAAGTCCATGATTTTAGATAATCCTTTGCACCTGAGTGACAATTCTGGTTCAGAAACAATTTCAAAGAGAGATGAAGCCCTGCGTGTATTGCAGAGCACAAACGTTGTTCTGATGAGATTCGATTGCCAAGCTGCAGGGGTTATATATTAGTGTGCTGGTAACTTGAGAAAAGGATCTGTATGGTGCCCACTATCGAGTTAGCAACGCAGCCAGATCAGTCTCTGGGTGTCCCATGGGATATTGTGCTGCAGTTGCTTTCGATACCTCTTTGTCATCCACTTCCACTGCAACGCTACATTCCATTTCCAGGCTCTGCACTAACAGATGGTAACTTCAAGCCTCTAAGTTTAGGATTAAGAAATGAATGTATGGATCTCATCTGACAGCACGTGCTTGGGATCTAACAAACCTCCCCCTTGGGCTTCTCCAGAGACATCCCTCTCTGCCCTTCTCACGTGGATGCTGTATCAAGACCCCTCCGAACTTGGCAAAAGCAAAATACCTTCCTGATGCTTTGGCAAGAGATCAGTTAAGTTTTTTCACTTCCTGCTGAGTAGGAATCCGATGGGAAGAGAGTCACCCACATGGTGGATTTTTTGGGGCTCTCAAACCATGACAACAGGGCACAAGAACATCTCAGGAAACATCAGTGCTCAGCTGGCCAGGAAGAACTAGTACAACTAAAGTCCATCTCACCCAAAGGTTGGACCTGTGCTCCATGGCATCACTACACTCACAGCTGACATCAAGGACACATTTCACATGTTCCCCACCCTGAATTCAAAATTCACTCTCAACAATAATATTCCACCCAAAAGGTACTTCAGGAGGACAACAGGTTACAGAGATGGTCCCTAAGCTTCCAAACACTCACTGCCTACCTTTTACCCAGCCAGCACTTAGTTTTGAAGCCTGAATGGAGCAATGAGAGCTGCCTTTCAATTTGCCAAGGCAACAGCCTTCGGCTGCCCACCATATATACTGTGACCTTCACAGCCAGACAAAGCAGTACCAGCTATTCACTGGGATAAACAAGGGGTTTATAAAAAACAGACATTGGACATGGCTGCTCAAACAGCCCTCACCACATAGACTGCTACTATCTGCTTCCTAACATGAAGGCAGTTTTGTTAGGAAATTTTAAAATTAGGCATTTAGCACCTGGGAAAAAAAAACAACTATTCAAAGCAGAAATAAAATGCCAAATGGAGTCATCTTTTAAGATGGCTGGGTATGGTTTTGTGCATTAGCACAAATGCCCCTGGAGGAGAAATTCTGAACAAGAAGTACATGTGCAAAGAGTTGCCCAGAGAAGCTGTGGCTGCCCCATCCCTGGAAGTGTCCAAGGCCAGATTGGAAGGGGCTTGGAGCAACTTGGGCTAGTGGAAGGTGTCCCTGCCATCGGCAGGGGGTGGAACAAGATGAGCTTTATGGTTCCTTCCAACCCAAACCATTCTGTGATTCTATTAGTCTATGATTCTACATTATTAATCATTTTCATATGAATACTTTTTGGAATATTACAAGAAAAACACATGGGGAATAACAGACTTTGAGGTTCATAAAAGACAGTTTGATCCTTGATGACTTGGCTTTGTGTGCAATAAGTCCCCGAGGACTTATTCTGACAGTAATTCTGCACTGAGCTCCCTACTCTTGTTTGATTAAAATACATCCTCCTGCACTTGCAGTCCTTACTTAGACATCTGGAGAAATGGAAAATTCACTGCTCCTTGTGGTAGTTCGTCACCCACACTGCTGAAAGATGTGTTCCTTGTGTACACAGACAAATGGGAAACATCACTGTTCCACACTCCTGCATCCCCCCCTTTTTAACTCTGATTGATCACGGCTCTCACACGCTCCAGGCCCAAGTCCACCCGCTACTGAGTGCTCTGCTAATGCTTGTGGGTGTGCAGAAGAGACTCAGTGCATGGTGAGAGCACAGGGCTGGAGGGGAGAAGTGTCTCTTGCTCAGAGAACAGGTTCTGCTGTGCTGCAGAATGACTTCAGGCAGCAAATGATTTTTTAAGGGTTTAACAGGAGTAAGTTCCCATGGATACATGTGTGTATCCTACATGTTCAAGGAAACAAGTGTGTCACGGACTCACTAATGCCTCATGTTGCTCAATTAAACATTTTTGTGCTGGAAGGAAAAAAGGGAAGTTGAAGTCAGTCATTTACTAAACAGATGAAGTAACTCTCTGTCCAGTAGAACCTATTGCTCTGCTTACCTGTACCATCTCGTGTGATCACCCAAAACAAATCAGGTAACAGAACAGATGACAAAAGTATCTGTTCTGGCTTTTTTTGCCTTCTGTCCTGGCCACTAAACGAAGACACACAAAACCAGTGAGAGAACAGCTTCAAAATAAACAGGAGACAGGACTGCAAAAGTTGCATGCAACCTAATTCTCAGAGCTGATCTATTTATGCCAAACCCGGATCTTGAAGTCTGTGGCAGTCAATCCCCTTGACTGCCATGCAGGCAGGATTTGGCCCTCATAAAGTATCCTCCTGCATTCCCAGCTGCTTGGTCCAGCTGCCACAGAGGAATGCAGGGCTGCTGAGGGCACTGGCACGGGATGGAGTTCAAACTTCCAGTGAAAAAAAAAACACCTCAGCGCTTGGATTTAAACTTTGTTGGTGCGATGGCTGAATCTGACAAAGTAAACCCCTGCCTGACAATAATTGAATTTAGATTCTTCTCCCTCACCAGCATTCAAATCGTGTTTGAGCCAGCTCTTTATTGAATATAGCTTTAAGCATTTGGAGAGAGACACAAACATCAATGAAGGAAAGCAGAGTTATATGTATGTGTGTGTGTTCATTTCACAGCAAATTACAAACAAGTACTCAAAACAGTATTTTTACGGGGCTGAATCCTGCTTCTACAAGTCAAGAAAGACTTTCACCACTTCATAGCATGCCCCAGAGAATTAGTTGACAGTTTGCACAAAAGCACTTTGAGTAGGGATTAAAACAAGCAAATAAACACATGGCACTCATTTTAGCACTCTGGTTTAAACAGAAATGTTTGCAGGCTTAAAAGCCAGTTAATTCCTATTGGAAATCAATGGGAGCTGAGGAAATACAGCAGTCTGGTAGTCTTGAAAAGCTGTGTCTTGACTGTGGATTGCACTGATCTCTGCTTTCTCTAAAATAAGATTGAAATGTAAGGTGCTTGTCGATTTTCAACTGTCCCCAGATTTCCAGCCTAAGGGGAAAAGTTGTCTCCGTGAACCTCATTCATCCCACTCTGTGCTTCCCCCTCTTCAGGAGAATCAGCCGTCACTGACGCTCGATTTTAAATCTTACTACAGCATCGCCACGCTTTTCAGAGCAAGATTCAAAAGAGGAGCTATTGCCACGGCGAGAAGAGGCTGTTCCAGCCCCGGCTCCGCATCCACCTCCCTCTCAGCCTCTCCGGGCGCATCTGGAGCGCCGTGCGCCGGGCACCTGCCGCTGCCTCTGGCTCTCCCTGTTGGCCGCTGACATTTCTTTTGCCTGATGACTTGAAAGCAAAGCAACCGAGCCCCGTCGCCAGCGATGCCACCGGGGGAAGAAGGCAAAGCCAGATTCCAGCGGAGCGGCCAGGAAAACTTTTGCGGGCGCTCCCGCAGCGCGCCGCTGCTCCGCGGGGCTCGGCCGCGGGCGCTTCCGGACCCGCTCCCGTGCCTCCCGCCCAGCCCCCGTTTCCCGGCTCGGTCCCCGGGCGGCTGAGCGCGGCCTCCCGAGCCCGGAGCCCTCCCCGGGCCCGGAGGGCACACTGCCGCCCGCATTCCGCGCCCCACGGGGATGCGGGTCCCGCCGCCGGTTGCGGGGCAGCCCCGGGGCGCGGGGGCGGGGCCCTTCCCCGGGGCACGGCCCTGGCCTGCCCGCTCGGGGGGCGGAGCGGCCGCCGCGGGTGCCGAAGCGGCGGTGGCCGGAAAGCGGCTGTGCCGGGGCCTCGCCGCCGCCGCCCATGGAGGACCCAACGGCGACGGCGGCGGCGGGGGCGGAACGCCTCGCGGGCCGGGGCGGGTGCGCCCGCGGGCGCCGCTGCTCATCCCCCTTCGGCTTTTCGGGACGGTGCTGTCGGTGATGTACGTGGCCGGGTGTGGCCGGTAATGGTCTTACACGCTGGTGGTGATGTGCCACTCGGCGCGCTGCGCCGCCCCCATGTACAGCTCCATCGTCAGCCTGGCCCTGGCCGACCTGCTCTACCTCTCCACCATCCCCTTCATCGTCTGCACCTACCTGGCGCAGGACTGGTACTTCGGGGACCTGGGGTGCCGCATCCTGCTCAGCCTGGACCTGCTCACCATGCACGCCAGCATCTTCACCCTCACGCTCATGTGCACCGAGCGCTACCTGGCCGTGACCCGGCCCCTGGACACCCTGAAGCGGTCGCGCGGCTATCGGAAGGTCACGGCGGGGCGGTCTGGTCGGTGTCGCTGCTGCTCACTCTGCCCATGATGCTGATGGTCACCCTGACCGAGGGGGGCAAGGCGGAGGGCAAGGTGAAGAGGATGTGTGCGCCCACCTGGAGCGTGGATGCCTACAGGACCTACCTGACGGTGCTCTTCAGCACCAGCATCATGGCCCCGGGCATCATCATCGGCTTCCTCTACACACGCCTGGCCAGGACCTACCTGGAGTCCCAGAGAAACCCCCCCCACAAGGAGAAGAGCAAGAGGTCCCCCCGGCAGAAGGTCCTCATCATGATTTTCAGCATCGTGCTGGTCTTCTGGGCCTGCTTCCTGCCCTTTTGGATCTGGCAGCTGGTGCGGCTCTACAGCAGCTCCCTGCAGCTCACCACCCAAACCCAGAAGTGCATTAACTACCTGGTGACCTGCCTGACCTACAGCAACAGCTGCATCAACCCCTTCCTCTACACCCTGCTCACCAAAAACTACCGGGAGTACCTGCGCAACCGGCACCGCAACTTCTACAGGTTCACGTCGTCCTTCCGCAAGCGGGGCTCCAACCTGCAGTGCTCCTGGGGACGGTCCATGTCCTCCAGCAACCAGTACGACTACAGCTCGGAGGCCCTGGGCATGGCCACGCTGAAGGACAAGTGAGGAGGAGGAGGCGCTCCGGACACACCGGGACCAGCAGAGCGTCTGGCCAAGGTAGGGCTTCAGGACACCTTAGCCCCGAAGGGGCCTCAAAACTCGTTTCTGGCTCGCTCTCTCTCTAGTGAGGGGCAAGAAGTTGCCTGAACCCAAGTACTGTGAGATGAGCCTGAATTCCCATCTGGCTTAGGGCTGTTGGAGGGGTCCTGCTGGGAGCCAGCAGCCGTTTGGGACAAACCCTGCAGGGTTTTGGGTGCAGAAGGTGAGGTGGATACTTTGTTCAGTTCTGACACAAACTCTTTCCATGCTTTGCTGAGTTCTGCCTGGATCCAGCTCCACACACCATTTCTCCTGTGTGGTTTCTCAGTGCTGTCTTCAGGCTACAGCTGGGTCAGAGCTGCAGAAGTCTGAAATTGGCCCAGTATTGCTTCAATTTAGCTGCAAGCCTTGGGTTTGCCCTGTGTGTTACCACTGTCTATTTCTGGAGTGTAAAAAGAGACCTTTAAGCCCCCTTTCCTATTTTCTGTTGCATTACGGTGCACTACAGTTTCATCAAGCTTAAAGTCTCTATTTTAAAATTCATTGCAGCAGCACTTCCAACTCCAAGCATTCAAAAACCACAAGGTAAGCTGTCAGAAGCCACAGGATTACCTAAAAAAACCCCTTGTAATTTTTAAAGGTTTCCACCTAAGGTGATTTGAATTTGCCACTGATTTTTTTTTTTTAAGTTGGTCCCTTTCTTAAAAGTCAGCAGGGCTTGAAAAACCTGAACGTTTACCTTGGAAAGAAAGAAAAAATGTCTTCTAATCCTATCACTCAAAGACCTGAGGCTAAAATAAAAATGACTGAATCCTTTATCAGGAAACTCATCATAAAAGAGACAATTTTTTTTCATGACATTCGATCAAAAGCATTTTGCCTCAATGTATTCTACTCATTTTCTCCCTACTTGGCATCTCACAGTAAACCTTCACCACAGATGCCTGTAAGCATTTAAACAATTGTAAAATGTCAGTTTATAAAATAAATGCTGATTATAGATGGACCATCATCAGGCTTCCCCTCGCCTGGTCTCTTCACCCAGCTCAGGGGGTTGTATTTGTCAGGGCAGAAGCTGCTGTTCCCAGCTGTGGGGATGAAGTTTGGTTCAATATTCCTCTTCCTTGTGCTGGGACAGACTCTGGGGATAAGTAAAGCATGATATGAGTTGCATAAACTATTGTCAGCAGCCAGTGATGCCCAGGGACTTGTGAAGCAGCAGCAGTGTAAGGAACTGTCATTCCCACTTTTTTATTACACACTCCAGCCCCCATCTGCCTGAGCAGAGTCCCACTCCAGCCCTGCAGGGCCACTGCAATCCCGTGTCCTTGGATGATCCTCTCGTGTCCCACACCAAACTTTGGGGTGTGTTTGTGCCAAAGCAGAGACACAAAGCACCAACAGCACAGCAGGGACTGGGAGCAGAGAACACGGCACAGGGACACGCTGGATTTTATGCACCCAACCAACAGAAAAATGGACCCTGCGGGGCACAGGTGGGATGCAGAGTGAGGAAGCACATTCCTGTGCCTGGCACCAGGCATTCTTCTTAGGGGTGCAGTTGTTGGGATGCTTTTTGGGGACAGGGGAATAAGTAACTCACCTGCTCATACTACTTTTAGCCCCAGGACTGTCTTTGAAACACTGGGGGCCACTTTGTCGTGTTCCAGTATTGCACTGACTACCAAGCTGGGCAGCTTAAATAGACCTAACAGTGCCCATTCCTTATAAAACAGGGGGACTAGCACACAGTTCATGCTGGGAATTTTTCAGAAAATAGTGACTTTTTAAATTATTCATTCTAAAGTCACTGTTACTTTTCCTTCGGTTCCCATTTCCAAGGCTGGAAGTCACTCCCATATAAGAATAACAAAGATAAGGCTGAGCTCAGGAAGTGGTGTGGGAAGGCTGGAGTACATGCATCTTCTGTGGGGTGTGTTGGGCTGTCCTGCTCCCAGGGAGATGTCCTGGCAGAGCCAAGCATGGCTGCATCCCTTCCAGGTGTTGCACGTGCCATTTGGATTCTTGACACAGAGCTGATGTCCCTTGATGTCTCTTGCTTGGCCCGAGGAGAAGATCCTTGGGAGGCCACTCACAGCATTAGGAGGCTGATAAAGGATGGGGGATTACCATGTACAGAATAGTTGCAAGGCACAGGGTATCTCTCTTAACAGGTATGTCAGGGGAAGCAGATGATGGAAGAGCTGGATAGGTATCAGAAAGTTTTAAAGGAATGTGCTTTCTGCTTTAAAAAAAAAAAAAAAGTTAAAAACCCATCCAGCCTGAAAACATTATTAACAAGGAGAAGCTGAAAAGGAATTCTGCATAGAAAAGAAGAGATAAAAATGCAGATCAGATGAGGTCTGCAGTTGTAACCTCATGTGGGCATAAGCAAACAGAAGGGGTTGATTTGGGGGACACGTCCCAAGACACCTCCTCAGCCCCCAGAAAGGATTCTGTTACTCTGCTCAGTGCTGTGAACAGTGTGTCGTGGATGTGCCTTCTGTGCCACGTGGTTAGAGCATCAAACATCAAAGGGTTCATGGAGGAGCATGAAAGGCAAAATACCGGATATTTCAAAAAAAGTGTGCCCAGCAGGTCAGGGAAGGTGGTTTTCCCCCTCCATTCTACTCTGGTGAGACCCCACCTGAAGAGCTGCCTCCAGCTCTGGAGTCCCCAACAGCAGAAGGATGTGGAGCC